CAGCACTTCCGTGTAGCTGGCTTAATCACTATAATTTTGAGTAAATTTGTCTAATAGATTTATATTTGCAAAAATTTGGCAGCACTTCCGTGTACTAGGCTTATTTAGTAAAAATTTGCGCAAATTTCTAATAGGTTTATTTTCGCAAAAATTTGGGCAGCACTTCCGTATAATTAGTCCTTTTACTTAAAACCCAACAAATGGGCAAACAAAATCTTAAATATCGCTTTCTCAATGAAACCTGCTCAACAAATGGGTACTAAACTCTTAACTAACTCTTGCTGACTATAACCGCCCAACAAATGGGTAAATACACTCTTAATTGAACTCTTGCTGACTACGCCCAGCAAATGGGCAAATACACTCTTAATTGACTCTTGCTGACTATAACTGCCCAACAAATGGGAAATACACTCCTAATTGAACTCTTGCTGATACGCCCAGCAAATAGGCAAATACACTCTTAATTGACTCTTGCTGACTATAACCGCCCAACAAATGGGTAAATACACTCTTAATTGAACTCTTGCTGACTACGCCCAGCAAATGGGCAAATACACTCTTAATTGACTCTTGCTGACTATAACAGCCCAACAAATGGGAAATACACTCCTAATTGAACTCTTGCTGACTATAACCGCCCAACAAATGAATAAATACACTCTTAACTAACTCTTGCTGACTATAACCGCCCAACAAATAGGTAAATACACTCTTAATCGCTTGTTCACACAGAAGGTCGCGAGTTTTTTTGGCCACCAATGTAATGTTTACACCAAGGATCTTTATTTTTATTTTTAAATTGTATTTCCAAAAATTATTAATTATATATATTTAATTGTTAATTTTTAATCAAATATTGTTTTTACCTTAATGAAGGATTTACAGAAAATAAATTCTTTTTACTTTTCTTTCAATTCCTTATTTTTCTCCAAAACATTTTTCCAAGAAGAGAAATCAAAAAAAATAAAAAAAATCTGAAAAAAAATGACAACTCCCTTTTATTTTATTTTTTTATCTATATATACATATCTATTGCAAAATAAATATAAATTGATTAATAATATAATTAATCTAAAAATAGCAATTTATATATAAATCCTTTTTAATAATATATTAAAAGAATGACTGCGCAAATAAATTCAAAAAAAAAATTTTTCACAAACAAAAAATGACTTTGCAATTTATCATAAAAATGACTACACTTTACATAAAAAACGATATATATAACAGTTATAAGGATCGTTTTCTTAGGTCAATTATTTTTGGAAGCTTATTTAATATTAAACACTTTGTTTCCTTATGAAAAGACTTAATTTAACATGGATTAAGGCTGAGTTTATATTTTAAAAAATGGGTGATATAACCAGTTTTATTTGAATCGAAATAATTCAATATTGTTTGTCAACAGATCGTAGCGAGCACCAAATAAAAAGAGAATGCAATAAACCACCATGGTTAAAAGGCCGATGGCAAAGAACGGCCTGGACCAAGGTTTGGCATTGATTGTTGATCTCCACTAAATATAAAGGATAATTTTTTTAGTAGAGTTTAAAATATAAAATAATTTATAAATATCATTCATTATTCATGTTATAAATATAAATTAATATTTTTGTAAAAATAATAGGTTTCTATTTTTAATTCATTATCTAATATTTTATTAACCTTAATAAATGCTCAATTATTTCGAACTTATACTATAAAAAAGGTTTATTCACGGATATAAACTTTTGGGTTAAAAGACACCATGTAAAAATATCTGTTAAAATATCCCAATTTATTTATACATCAAAAGTAAATTAAAACTACTATACATTTTAAAATTCCCCTTTTAAAAATTTCAGATATTTCGTTATAATTGAGCCATTATTGTCCTTTTCTTATTGTCTCGGACATTCTTTTCAGTGAACCAAAAATTTTACATACTTTTAATCGAGCTACTTACGCTCATAAGATTAATAAACATAGACTGCTCATTCATTATTGATTTTCTGAAAATGATGAGGATAATAGATCCATCCACCTTTGAATGATCAAGAATTATCATTTTTTTGATAAAAATGTCTACCAATTTAACGTTGAAAATTGTCGAAGCTTTATTGAGAAAATACTTTATTAGAAGAATAGTTCTTAATTTAGTTTATAACCAAAAAATTATTTGTAAATTTGAATTATTATTTTATTTTAATATAATTTTAAAGTAAGTTGGCGCAAATGAGCTTTTAAATTGTAAACCATTTTTGAAAAATCGGTTTTTGTCCTGATAAACGTTTAAGGCAATAGGAATCGTATTCCAAACCTTTGGAATTAGTTTAAGATCGATAGTATGTGTAAACTAAATTTTTTAATATGTTTTCGGACTGAATACAAAGTTTTGGGTAGTAGATGAGTTTTTAAAAACCTCTTGGAGTAGTTTGAAGCAAATGGTACTAATTTTTATTATTCCATAAGTGAAAAGAGTTAAATAAACGAAAATTATTATCCAATAATCCTTTTACTGCTTAAAAAAAATTTTTTTCTTCATGAATGTAAATGACAAAAAAAACTATTGGGTTGAGGGATATAAATTTAAGTGAAAGGTCTCCTGTTAAATTCTTGTTGGGAATTATATTTTGGGACCCCTTTTTTGAATTTAGCCACATGAGCAGGTAGCTAAGAATTCAAAATATAGTAGCTATTAAGCACATATACGGGTAGGGTTAATATATATTTTAAAAAAGGTTTGTTTAAAATTGGTCATTACATTTTTAAAGTAAATACTCAAATAATAATTAATATTTTAAAGCATCCAAGTGGTGTAGCTGAACAATCCTATATTTATGAATTCTTTCCGGCAAGATTTATTTTATGTGACCCCCTTTTATGAACCTAATCGCACGTGAAGTAGCGCATGTTTAGAGAGATGGTAGCTGGCCAGCACGAATAAGGCGGTAGGATTAATCCATAATTGAAAAGGAGTTTAATAAAATTTAATCGTATTTTAAAATAAAATTTTTTATGAATATTTTAAAGCAACCTAGTGGTATAATGGGCGATAAGCTAAGTTAAGGCATCTCCACTATCTCTTGTTCATGAGTTATATGGGCCAATATATTTTTCAGGAATCTTTTTTTCTGAATCAAGTTATCAGCAGCAGTTAGCTGAAGGTAAGAGAAATTGCAGCAAGCTCAGGGGTAGGGTTAATATATTAAAAGAAAGATTTAATTAAATTTAATCGTTAAATTTTTAAAATAAATACTTAATATTTTATGTTTAAAAGCATCCTGGTGGTATATGTTGTTAGGTGCAAGGTGAATACATCGGAGATATCCCTTGTGTATGCACGCGAGGATACTGTGGTTGGGCTTAATATAATTTAGCAATTATTTAGTAAATTTAGCACAGTTACAGGGTTAAGATTAATATATATTTAAAAATAAATTTAATCATTGTTAGGGTAAATTATAAAATTATAATATGAACATATAAAAAACAAAGATTGTACCAGACTATCATAAATTTATCAAATATTTGATTTATTTTACCCTTGAGACCTAAGTCTAAAATAAATTAATTTAAAAAAAAATATTCCCCCATTAAAGCATTTAAATCTTTTTATTAGATGGTTATATTTGTCTGGTGTCTTTTTATCCTAAGGTATTTTTGACTAGGACATTTATGTCCGGATTATAAATTACGATGTATGTAAAATTTTGATGTTCTTAAATGAAGCCGTTATTTAAATATTTATACGGCTGGTCAGAACTCGATAACTTTTTTTTTACTAATTTCCCGGCTTTGCCTTTTAAAATTTTACGAAAAAAAACCCTACCCGTAAAATTATGAAAAGTTTTACTCGCCCCGTTATATTTCCTGGAACGAATTTCAGGCCATCATATTTTAAATTATCTATATCTAATTTTCCTTCAATGTCAATTAAGGCTCTTGTATCTTAATTCTATGGCTATCTAATTTTTTAATAACAATGTTTCATAAATCAATTATGTTTTGATATCGTTATTGTGTATTTGTAACTATTATTTATAGATTTAGTATTCTAGTTAGATCGCTTTTAAAAGACAAAGAAATAAGCATATTGTGATTAATTTTCATAGTACTAATAGCATATTAATTAAAATACAAAATATCCGAGGCCAATAATTTTCTATAAAATGGGAAATATTTTTTTAAATTCTATACATAGATTTAGTTAAGTTAAGCAGATTTAATAAAATGAAAGGATATAAGCTCATTGTTGTTATTAATTGTTATTTCAAAGAATATTAATAAAATTCAAAATCAGATATTTACGAGGCCTGTGCTGATTTTTTATGTATGAATTGTCTGGTTCGACTCGTCTCGTTAAAAAAATTTTCTAGTTGCCTAGCCCGTTATAATTTTTTTCAAAAAATTTGCCATTGCAGATTTCTTATGTAAATATGATTTTAATAACATTGTTTGTTTTAATGGTCATTTGTGATAAATTTATAAGCTGTATAAAATATTATATATAAAATAAAACATTTTGATAGCTATTTTTAAATAAATTATAAGCCTGTTTTGTTCATTTAGCTCGAAAAATATTTTCAATTCATCTGCCTGCCCATTGTTTTAAAAATATTTTTTAACCCACCCGTCCAATATCTAAACTTTTAATATATGGACGAAAGGGATAAAACACTCCCCAATTGCAGGCCCCTATTTAAAATATGGGATTCAAGGGAAAAGAGGACTGGAAAATGTTATAAACGTGATTGAACGTGATAAAACTACCTTTTTAGATTTCAAAAAAAAATTTAAAACAAATTTACTATTCGTGTAAATATTTTGTTCACTTCTCTTCATATAACATAAAATAAAATAGCTATATATTTTATAATGTATTGTACCAAATGCATTAATGACATGAAAATCATGTTTTTAAATTTTTGTTTATGATTCTAACAATTTTAAGAAAAAAAAACATAAATAATATTTTTAAGAATAAAAATTCACTACACAAATATTTTTTTTTACAAATTTTTTTAAAAAAATTTAGATTTATATTTTGGCTAATATTTTAAACCTTTTTTTTACTTTTATTTGAAAAAAAATGTCTTTATTCCAACCTCTAATAAAAGTAATGATCCATATAACGTTCATCATTTCAATAGATAAAAGTAAATTTGAAAAATATATAATAAATACAGCATATCCCTCTTATAAACGTTCCTTATGGCACCAGAAATTTAATTAAAAAGTGGGAAGTTATAAACTAGAAACATGTAGACTGTAGATTATAAGATTTCTGGGGCCCGAAAGCAGAACCCAAAATAGGAACGTTATATAAATGGGATTTTACTTTAATATTTTATAATAATTTTTCTGAATAGAAAAATGAGCTTGAATCGCATTTATATTATGTCATCTGTGACGTGGCGAGATAGAGACAAAAGTACGCTCAACATGTCTAAGATACTCAAACGTTTTTTCTAGCTCTTTTGAGGTTGCGTCCTGATTGGAGCGTTTCAACTATTCGGTGAATAAATTTCAATGTTGTATATACATATATATGTTAGCGTCAATTTGTTTTTTCCGGCAATTTGTTATTTTTACAACTTTAATCATTTTTTATTTAAAAATCGGATTTTACCGTAAATACTTCTGACATGTTTCGAATACCTATCTTATGAATTGTAGACAATTTTGCTGTTAACCTTTGAATCATTTTTAATTTATATAAAAAATATATGGAAAATTTAATATAAATTATATTAAGTTTAAAAGTTCATGAAAAAATTGTCTGAAATTTATAGGGTAGGTATTTCAAACATGACCGCTGACATTTCCGGTAAAATCAGATTTTCAAAATTTTAAAGTTGAAAAAATAACCCATTAACACTAACATATACAAGCGATTTGGAAATTAACATGGACGCAACCTAAATAAAACTTTTTAACATGTCTAAATAATAGCTATTGGTGTGTTGAAAATTTTTCTTATATAGATTTCTTTACAAACAATGGGCTAAAAAAAATTTTTACGCTTCTAATTAGAAGTATATATAATATTTTATATGATAATTTTTATATGGACGCCAATGACATATATAATACCTAGACTGACGATTCATTCATTAAAATGCATTTTTAAGGGTCGTTAAAAGCAAATCAGTTGGACCCGCCATTTTGGTAACACATATAGTAATTATTCTCATGTTAAAAATTACTATTAAATTGATAACTTGCTTCCTTATTATTTCGATGATCCAGTAATTCTTTAATAAAGTTTGCATCAGATATAGGAATAAATTAGGCTCTCGTTTAAAATTTTAATAATGATTAGTGTAACCAAAAAGGCGTCTCCAGCTGATATGCATTGATGTACACTTTTAATGAATGAATCGTCAGTCTGGGTATTATATATGTCATTGATGGATGCTTAAGAATTAATTAAACTAATTAGTCATCGTAAATAAATGTTCTCTTTGAATCAAAAATAAGGTAGAGTGATTTCTACTAGATTCTATATAATTAAATTCAAAGATTATTCAAATTCAAAATAATAATGATATTGAAAAAGAAGTTTTTATTTTCAAGCTATAACATTCACAATAAGCTTTAATAAAGATCTTGACAAAAAATTTTTTAAAAAAATGAGAAACTTGAATGTAGGGTTTAGTTTACTTTCAATGACTATGTACAATTTTTTTCTTAAATATTAACAATTAAATATTCAAGTCACATATAATTTTAAAAATATTTATGTCCGTTTTTGAGACAGAAAAAAATTGTTAAAATAAATTTTTTTATAAATTGACCTAAATGATTTTTACTTTTTTTTTTTCAAATTATTAATGCTTATGAAATATATATTATTAATATATTGTATAATTTTTTAATACCAGTGGCCTCGTGGTAGGGAATGTCAAAAGCGTGCTGTTTAGCACGCCCGCATTTAAATTTAAACACACCTGAGTCAATTTTTTTTGGTTTTTTAAAGCTCCTAAATGATGAGTTAAGGGACGCCACCTTAACATAAATAGAAGAGACTGCTGATATGGTATAAAACTGGGTTTGAATGGTGCCATATTATTTTACCAAAAATACTTAACTACTGGTGGTTAATTTTTTACCTCGTGATTCACAAAATATTAATTTTTAAATTCGAATTTTTCTAAAGGCAAAACATGATATCCTATAAGTAACTTTGAAATTTTAAATTTCCTCAATAACATTTAAAAGCAAATATTATATATAGTTTTAATAAGTTGGAATATCTATTTTAGAAAAATTGATGGGTTGGGGCATGTTGTTTAAAATTGAAGTGAGTTTTTTTTTCCCCATTTTAGCTTTCACCTTTTCTGGTGGTAAGCTCATTCAATATCTCTCTCCACTTTATGTTATTCATGCTATCTCTTTAATCTAATTTATACTTCTTTATATTGGCTCTAACTTTATGGCCCCGTTGTAGTTTTGAGTGTTCAACACCATTTAAATCCGTCAAATAATCAATTTATTTAATATAAATGTGTTAATTTTTCTTTTTACCTAATCGCTCAAATTAACCAAAACAAAGGTTTCTTTGGCCTAGGTAAGGCTAAATTTATGTTAGTTCTCCAGCATAGCATTTTGCAAAATTTTATTATATATCATTTTTTAGATATTATTTTATAAAATAAGCATCATGTCTAATTAATTAATATTCTATTATATTATTACTCATTAGTCTCAAAAGTTATGCAAATTTTAAAAATTTATATCTATTTTATAACTTACTTTTTTTTTATCTTTTAAACTTTGTTCGTAATTTAATAGGTCAATAAAATATAAATTTTTAAATCTGCAAATGAGTCGAGATAGTGGACTTTATCAATATGATTAAGGAATTAAAAAAATAATTAATAGAACTTGGACTAAAATGTTTATGATAAATATTTATTAGGTTTTCTTTAAAATTTGAAAACTCCAAATTTGCAAGATTTATAAGAAGAAAAAAGTGTTCAAAACTTATATTTTTTTTAATATTCATTTCTAAGTTCTAACATTTTATTAAAAATTTTGTTTGATCAAATTTATTTTAATGAATATTTTAGAAAAAGTTTCAAAAAAGGAGAATTAATTATACAATATTTGTATCCAAGGATAATGAGTGTGATCTAAGTTCTACATATTTCAATAAATTTTACATATTATTTGATTACACAAAATTTATAATTAAAATGATAATTAATTATAGCGGTATCATTTGTTATGTCAATGAAGAACATGAGTCTTCCAAAACTCCCCGAAGCTCTTAAGCATAAAAATGATGAATGCTTTGAACGCAATATAAAAACACAAGATGATTTTAATATCACTGAGGTAATTAATAATCACATTTTAATTAATATCATTATTAATTATAATTCAAATAACATACCCTCTTTTTTTTTATCTTCATACGCAATATTAATGATAACACCGATTTTTAGGCAATGTAGTTGTAAATTAATAATTATTAATTATCTTTTATTAAAGAATCTAATTTATTATTTATTATGTTATATTATAAATATCCGCGCCTAAATTTTAAAAAAGAAAAATTAATCCTGGAAATAATAAAATGATAATACAAATAAATAAACGGAAGCTATACTATGTATAAAAAACAACCCTTTTTAAATATTATCACTGATATTATAATCAGACTATTTCACATGAAAGATGCAACAGTAAATCTCATTCATCAATCAATATTTTTTTTATATATTTAAAATTTAAATAAAAACTGTACTGAAAGAAAAATGAATTGCACTTACATTCCTTACCCAAAAATTATTTTTACTGTAAATTCTAAAAAAGCCAATGCCCTATTTATGTAGTAGAGTGCTACTGAAATTATAATAAAGCCTCAATACAAATTAGTGATTGGTAAAACATATAAAATTTATTTTTAACCTAATATATCCTTTTTAATATTCTTAAGTGGGAGAGAAAATTATTTTTCTACAGATTTGGAACGGAAGAATTAAATGTTTCGAATGTATTTGAAATTTTATTTTAAAAACCCAACAATTGATTACATCTGTCGTCTCAACTTATATTAAAATAAGAATTTAAAAGGTGATTATTAGTGTTAAGCGTATTATATATAAATGGGGAAACGGCTTAGTTTAACCTAATAGAAGTCAAGAAAAATGGCTAAGATTGAATTAAATAACTTTGACCATAAAGAAGACTATGGCTAATAGCCGTAACCGATATAAATATTAGTTGTACGTATCTGGTAAATTTTTTTATTAATAATTAACTCCAACCTTAAACTTTATAAAATTATTTATTTTAATTTATTATGATAAATAAAAAAGATGAGAATAGTTATAACTTATGTCAAACTTTTCTAAAAGGGAAATTTTATTTTTACTCAGGCATTTTATAAAGTTAATATTTAAAGTAAATAAGATTTAAGATCCTAATAAATTAACAATTTATAAGTTCATATAGATCCCACGATAGTACTGAATGCCTAAAAATAATTTTAACAAATAAAATGTTCGAAATAAAAACAATACATAAATTGATTTCAAATTCAATCCCATCCTGAACCTCCGGAAATAACTCTCTTAAGACTCAGTCGGGCGGATTGGGTTGGAAACTTTATTTGGGAAAGGACTCGAACTTCTGCAAAAATTTTAATCAATTATTTTTCAAAATTTTCTTATCTATAAAATTATATCATATTATTTCTTCAGTTGCTTATAATTTTCGCGCTTTCTTTAAAAGCAAATGAATGGTATTTCGTAACTTCTTTGAAAAATTGGATCTATGAGACTAAGGGGCTCAGACCTTAGGAAAAAGCAGGACCAGATTGGTTACCCGGCATAATTCGCGACGAAATTAAATAATTTTCAACATTTCTAAATTTCAAATTAATTAATAATCATGGACGGGTTTTAGAATCATCATGTGCCGATCTCAGGGAGTAGATAACGCGAATTCGCAGCTATATATACTTCGCCGCGAATTCGCTCTAACTCTGATTGCAGGGTTAGATAGCAACATTTTCTCAAAGGCCTGACAAGATTAGAAAAATAGGTCTAATGAAAAGTCCTAATTTCAATTAAATATTATTATATTTTGTTATAGTAATAACCATGAATTTACATAAATAAAAATCAGGTAAATTTTTTTTCCTACTTTGTTTAGAGATTATAAAATGTCTATTTTATGCATAACTTACATTTAGGTAGAAAAGTTAAATTTTTAGATTGATCTTTTTTTTTATAAATGAAGAGAAATCATATCATCACATAATTTATACTGTGTTAAAAAAAAATTTTTTTTTTACCAAAAACGTCATCATATTTTACATAATTAATTTTATTCCGGTACAAGGTTGGGTTGTTTATCTAAAAAATATATAATTTCAAACAGATATTTTTATTAAAATTTCCTATTTACAATATTAATATAGTCTAGTACAAGCAATTTAAAAAACATAAGCATCCATTTCTTAAATTGGTCTATCCTCTCCCCTGGAATTTTTTTAAATATAAAAATATATAAGCTTTTTAAAATTAGTGTAGAAAATATATAAATTAGATTCAAAAATAAAGTACAAAGTTCAAAGTTATTAAAATATAAAAAACTTAATATTTGACGCTATTTGCTTAAATTTTACGTTATTCATTAGCGCTTTATGATATTTTATTTAGAGATCTGCAATGCCTGGCCGGCCCGACATCTCGCAAGCCCTGGAAATTTTTTTTAAAAATATAACGGGTTAGGAAATTCGTGCATAAAAAATTTTATGACCCGGCTCGACAATTTATACATAAAATATCAGGTATAGTCTAGTAAATATATAATTTTTCGCAAAATTATAATAGGCCAGCTCTGGCATTAAAATTTTGATAGATTTTTTTGAATTTCAAGATAGTATTTTATTTTTATTAATCCTATTTGAAAATAAACTGTAATATGATTTTTTTTTGTATTTCTAACTAAAAATAAATAATATAGTAAATATAAATTCACAAAAAATTAAACAATTTATCTATGATATGATACAATTATTAAAAATGCATAATACAGATATAAATAAAATTGATTTATAAAACGGTTGTTGTAAAAATATACAGCCATAGAGAAGAGCTATATACCTTAACGGACATTGGGAAATATATAGATATTAAAAATGCGCATGCCGGAAAATTCGTACAAAAAAATTTAATGGGCCGGTGCCGACTTTTCGCAAAACTTTGCCGAGCCGGGCCTTAGTAAAATTTTTAGGGGCCGGGCTGGATAACTCGTGCAAAAATTCTTAACAGGCCTAAGCCGGGCTTTGCTGACCTCTCTTTCAGATTTTTATTTATTATTCACGTGTTTTTTTCTTATCAATTTATTAGCATCATGGATATATTTTTCAGCTTTAACCATTATTGGGTCATTTTTTTTATTCATTCACGCTATGAGCCATATTCTGCAGACTTGAGTCCATTTTTGGTGATAGTTACCCCAGTTTACGCCATTATATTCGCCGACCTATAACTTAATGGTAGTTCTTTCGGTTAATCCGAGTCATATTTGATAAATATATTGTTTGCGCCTATGTTTCTCAACTTTATTCATTCACTTACTTTTGGAATACATTTGACTTATCCTTTTAGATTAATCGCAAGAAATTGCCATATTTTGGAATTAGAGAATTGTTCAGCCAACTTTATCGGAGATGATATAAAGATAACCACAAATAAATCAATAATATATAATTTTTATAGGAAAGACCTGATGGAATGCCTGGCTATACGGAATTTGGAGTTGAAGCCCCCCAAAAAAATTTAAAGACCCCCCCCCCCACTGAAATATCTTGGCAAAGCCACTGTACTTCCTGCATATCATTCGATGATACTTAAACGTTAATTGGGCCAATACATGTCAACTATTAATATTATATTTTTTAAAAAAAATAGAAAGAGGGCAAATATTTATAAGGGGTCGAATACTTTTTCCAAATAACTCTTTTCTTAGTGATATTTAAAATGGAAAACTACTTCCTGCTTATCATGAGATTACACTTAAACGTATTATAGACCAATACATATTAAATATAATAATATTATATAAAATATTTTAAGAGGACTAAGATTTTTAAAAAGGGAACTAATATTCTACATTTCAGAGGACAAATATTCTTTTAAGATACTAATTTGTTTAATGGAGTGTAACTGAACCGATCCCAGGCGCCGAAAGGCACTCAGGCAGACCTTACATATTACTTATTTCTACCTAACATATTTGAATATAACGTAAGTTATTCAATATTTTCATATTTATCTACTTCCAAGTTAGAGAGTCAATGAAAAATAAAAGAAAACTAAACTTAGTCTTAATGGCAAATGAAAAAATAATAACCTAAAATTTATTTTTTATTCACTTATGTTAAAATTTAACAAAGTCAGTTATATTTTATATATTTATACTTACAAATTTTCAATTAAAATAGCAAAATATTTCTGAGCGCCTAACTATTTGTTTTATTTCAAAAAATATTGGCCTTTCTAAATAAACAGTTGCCCTCCCCCAGAGGGAAATTTCTGATTATGGACCTGTTAATGACAGTTTCGCGATTATGAATATATTATTAACAGGTGCCCTCATACAAGACCTTCAACGCCACTTTATAAATAAAATAACGTAAATTACCTCTCTTCCAGAACGGTTGCCTGTTTCCTAGTCCATTCACAGAACTCCCTTGCTTCTAATAACTCTTTCTCGAACATAATGTTCAACAACAAAACCAAGCATCATATCAAGAATTGCTAAACAAGATATGTTATGGCTTAAATTCCCATACTTTGGATATAGCACCTTCAGGCTATCTAACAACCTACAAGAATTCTTTAACGTAACAAATTGAAGATGCGCCACAACATTTCTCCCCATCTCCAAGAGTTTAAAGGACCCACGATTTTTTTATAATAAAAAGACACCTCTTGAGCTTAAAGCCAAACTTATTTTAAAGAAAATCGACTGTCTAAACATTAAAGATGCTCTCAAATTGCTATTTATGATTCACTAAAGTGGCGTAGGTATGGGGGATATTTTTATTTTTTAATTTTAATTTAATAAATTCTTAATAAACGAAACGCTTGATTTTTATGTTTTAAATTTATTTTAAATAATAATAGATAAACACATTTGATTTTTTTTAAATTTATTAAATAAATTTTATATTATTTTGCATTTCATATTCTATTTTATTAAAATATATATTTCTCATTTTCAATATGAATTTCACACCACCCAAAAAAAGGGAGTTATTTATTCAAACATCATGATATTGACTCAAAAAATCAAAAAAAAAAAACTAAAGATATTTT